TGCCTCGAAGCATCGAGCTGAGTTTGCCTTTGCTCAGCTTGAGAACGAGAGAGCTCTGGCATCTCTGCGTGACGAGCTAAGGGTAGCTCGTGGGATTGTTGATCGGTCTCGGGCTGAGATAACTGCTCTTCAGACCCTTGTCGATGCCCACCATCGGGAGCACAAGGCTCTCTGCGAGATGCTTGAGCGCAAGGGCGTTCTTCATCGGAAGAAGCAGCGTACTGATGGTACGGCTTAAGCCGACCAACGTAAAACGTGGGATGCGTTCGCATCTTACGTGGTAACTCGATCGTGTATGCATTGCCTACACGGTGCAAAACACGAAATGGGCCGATGTACTTGGGTAGAAGTTTACTACTACCCAAGTTAGTCACTACATGCTTTGGTAGATTAACCGTAGACAGTAGGACTAAGTCACCTTTACTAAATAAAAGAGTGTTTGTCCTTCCATTCTTGTCAGCGTTTTGCTTTTGCTTATCCACCGCTTCGGCGATGGAATCTTGCACAAAACGGACTACCGTTTCACGAGCCAGTATGAACTCATCTGATGACTCGTAAACTTCAGTGCGCTGTGAGCGCACTGCAGCAACATCAATCTTTTCTTCAGTGAGGGCTTCCGCACTCTCACTGGCATCATCTTCTTCGATATCGATGTTATCGATATCGGCATCAAACGCAATGACCTCTTCGTCAGAGCGTGATGAGCGTGAACCAAATCGTTTTTTGCTCGCGCGAGTCCCTCCCCCTCTTGAACAAGAGTTACACTCTAGTAAGGTGGGTACACGCGGATGGCGCAAGCCATTCACGTAAAACGGTGTATGTGTCGTGGACGCATGCACCGAGTTGTTGATGGCAAACTCTACCATAGGCAAAAACTCACTCCAACTCTTAAAGGAGCGTACGTATCCTCGAAGTATCTCTTCAAGGACACGATTGGCACGTTCCGTCTGACCATCTGACTCTGGATGATCAGATGTTGACATCTTCAAGCGCGTTCCGAGTGATTTGAACACGGAACGCCAGAAATCAGCAGTGAATCGTGGATCTCTGTCTGATACGAGTTCACGGGGCAACCCATGACTTCGGAAGATGGTTTCAATAAAGACACAAGCACAGCCACTTGCCGTGATTGACTTTGGTACAGCCACGAGGTGTACCATTTTGCTGAATCTGTCAACAAATACGAGAATACCCGTATTCCCGCGTGCGTCTTTGGGTAACTCAAGACGAAATCCATTGAGATGGATTCCCAGCACTCAGCCGGAACCGGTAGAGTCTGTAATGGTGCACGCAGTGAAGGACTTGACTTCACTCGTTGACAGACTTCGCATGCGCGAACATACTTTCGCACAAACTGATACTGGCGGGGCCTGTAAAAGTCTCGACTCACCGTGAGATATGTTTTCTCTCGGCCACGATGTCCTCCTATAGAAGCATCGTGATACTCGAACATGATCCGCAAACGCAGATCAGTATCATCTGGAATGACAACACGTGGTGTGTCACCAGAAACGGCTGTATAATACAGTAAACCGTTACGAGTAGTGTATCGATCTGATGCAGATCGATACGCAGACGACAATCGTTTCAACGATTCTCGAGATGGTTGGGAGAGATGTGTCAAAAACTTCACTATCTCACCATCTTGGGCGTATGCCCGCCTCACATCATCATACAACGTTGTAGATGGGACTGAGGACGTCATAGTCGCAACAGTGACTGTCTCACTGTTGGGTTTCGCGACTGTTTCAAAGTCGGGATGACGTGAGAGTGCATCAGCGACGACATTAAGTCGTCCTGGTTTGTACTCGACCGTAAAGTTGTATTCTGCAAAGAATGACAACCACCGCGCCATTCGTTGTGAAAGGTGCGGGCTGTTCACTGCCGTGCGTAATGACGCATGGTCAGTGTAAACAATGAAGGGTCTATCTCCTAATAGATAGACTCTGAACTTCGCGATTGCATACTTCATGGCAAGTAGTTCCTTGTCATGCACTGGATAGTTCCGCTCAGCTGGTTGCAGCTGACGCGACTGATAGCAGACGACGCGTTCAACGCCTTCAAGATCGTACTGCATTAATGCACAGCCGATTGCGAAATCGCTGGCATCACAGACCACAAGAAATGGCCTGTCCTGATCGGCTATTGCTAGGACTGGGGATTGTATCAAGCTCTGCTTGATACCATCACAGGAGCGCTGACACTCAGCGTTCCATAACCACCTCTCGTTCCTTTTCAACAAACGAGAGAGGTGCACAGTCATCTCGGCGTAATTGCGTGAATACTTATGCAAATACGCCGCTAGCCCAAGGAATTTTCGAAGACCTTTGACATCAACCGGCACAGGCCAGTCGGTGATCGCCTTGATCTTTTCGGGATCAGGACGTACACCGTTCTTGCCAACAATGCACCCAAGAAGTGGTATTTCGCTTGCGGCAAATATACACTTCTTGAGGTTTGCATACAATTGATGCTTTCGCATGATCGTAAGAACCTGTCGGACGTGGTACCTGTGAACCTCAACGTCCGACTTTCCATCCATAGCCCGACTATGGATGAATAGTGATCGAAATAACTCGGCGCGAATTCTCGTACTGGTCTCAACAGATGTGATACACATCTGTTGAACGTGGCAGGGGCATTACTAAGCCCTTGTGGCATTACTAGCCATTCCCAGAGCATGCCGCTAGGCGTGCTAACTGCGGTATAGGGTATGTCTTGTTCTCAAATAAGGATTTGATAGAAGCCACCCATCAAATCCATGGACGAAAAGATGGTACTCTTTGACATACCATCAATGATTACGTCCTTCCTCGGTATCGGCGTCTGAGCCGGTACCGTTGCAGCATTCAACTTGTTAAATGCATGCACTATCCGCCACCCTCCTGTTGCTTTTCGCACACAGAAGGTCGGAGAGCTATGTGGGGAAGTTAATTCCCTCACATGGCCCGCAGCTAAACGATCGGCAAAGAACTTGTCGATCGCAAGTACTTGTTCACGAGGCAGTGGCCACTGCTTCATGACACAGTACTTCGAGCCTGGTTTAAGCTCGACCTCGTGTCGAATACCTTTATCCTTCGGTAATTCGCACGGAACAGTTTCAGGGAACACATCCTTGAATTCAACCAAATCTTCATAGAGAGGATTTGTCTTGAGCGATTCCCACGATTGGGAGTCATATCGCTCAATTTGTGTCTTTTCATCTAGGACACTCTCGTCCATAGATGAACTACTGAGAACTCTCTCGTTCTCAGTAAACACTGTTGCTGACCTTATGTCGGTTACACACTCGTCGTCAGCGACGAGTACGCAGATCTGCTTGACTTTGCCACTACGCAGATCACGCAAGAACCTTTTTTTTGTTCGAGCGTTGGCAACTGAGTGATCTCCGAAGTCAACTTCGGAGGCGCAATCAGATCAAGTGTATAAGCGCCTACACATGATCCGTTATTGACTATGACATTCAACGTCTCTGTCATTTCCTGGGGACTTATTCCCTCAGGCTTCGAAGGACTTATTCCTTCGGCTCCCCGGGGACTTATTCCCGCGGGTTTAGGGGAACTTATTTCCACCGTATTTGTAACATCGGGACTTATTCCCTTTACTTCCTCTAGCTGGGGTTGCGCAACCACAGCGAGATCCTCTACGAAAGACTCTCCAGTCGATCTAGGATTATCGTTTCGCTTAACCTGAGCGATCGATCGTTTCTCTTCTAGATGTTCCCCGCTAGGGATACATCTTTGTCCCAGTCCACCCGACTTATTCGAGTGGTGGACCTTCGGCGCAGCCTGTGTTTCCTCACAGCCGCCGGAACTTTGCTCCGAAGTGTAACCGTTTGTTACACTACGGTTTTGTGCAGTCGTACTAACGACCGTACCACAAGTGAGGCCATCGCACTCACTCGTAGTACATCCACACGCTTGTGGACGCTCCAAAACGTTCATCAGATGGCCATCTGATGTACAAGCGGCAGGCATCGTTACTGTTCGATGTTGCCAGTTTACTCGTGGTTCGTACCTTCTGAGCCACGGTATTCCAAGGATGACATCAAATTTGTCATCCAAATCCAATACGATAAAGTCATCGTCACATTGGGTATCTTCTAGCGTATAGTGGATCTTCACTATACGCTTCATGACGGTTACGGATGCGCCTGTCGCAAGACGTACCGTCATCCTCGTAGGAGGTGTGTCACATTCACTGAGCTTAAAGTGACCATCTTCTAGCGATTGGCGTCGCACAAAATTGTTGGACGCCCCACAATCGACTAGAGCTCGAAGGGACAACTTATTTGTCACTTCGAGTGTCAAGGTAATGAGTGAGACCTATTTACCTAGAGCAGCAACGCACAACGTTTGTGTGTTGGGAGCAACCTTCATCAAGAGACCTACAAATTCTCTTGACGTCGCCGAACCAGTAGGGTGCTCCGCACCTACTGATCCTGTCCGTTTTTTTACGGTCCATCCCGTTGTTGCGTCTTTGCACCAACAGCGGACCCTCGTCCCTGCCCCTTTCTCATGGGTGGACGGTCACTACGCCCAGTGTTGCGAGACACTGGACGAGGGGCACTACACTCGTAAGCGTAGTGTCCTGTCTTCTGACATCTGTCGCATTTCTGCAACTTCTTGTAGTCTGTAGAGCGAGCCTTCTCGCTCTCTACATAACAGAGTTCCATCGGCTCTGGACCTCCGTTGTCATATCGTCTCGGTTGAAGATATGATGCCGAGCTGGCGCGAGCCTGTCTCAGACTGAAGTCTTCCTGTTCCGTAATAGAAATGGCTTGTTCTAGTGAATCTAGTTCAATTCAGAACAGGTGAGTCTTGACGGGACCATCTGCAAGACCCTGCACGAACACCAAAACCAACGTGTGTTCATCCACCGGATTGGAGCTTATACAACTCGTAAGATGTCGTATATGTTGCGCGTAAGCGTGCACATCACGCTTACCCTGCTTGAGCTTCAAGAGTTCGGTTCGAGCTCTGAACTCAGCTCTAGGCGGTTCAAACGTTTGTCTGAGCCGCCACTTGAAGACTTCCAACGACCCAAACGCATATGGGTCGTGCAACTTGAGCCCCAGTGCCCAAGTCTTGGCACGTCCTGCCAGATTTGACTGGGCAAATGCAGCTTGCATATCCCCGTCGTCGATGCGACGCGCCCTTATGGCGTCGTCTAATTCGATGAACCATCTCAGGAGGGAGCCCTCTTCTATACTTGGAGATGTCAATCTTCAAGGTCTCGGGCCGACGCGAGTGCATCGACCCGCCAGCAGCAGCCTGCTGCTGTCTCAACAGTTCAAACTGTTGAGCACCTTGTTCTCTCAACAACTCTGCTTGTTGAGAACCTTGTTGGTGAAGCAAGGCTACTTTCTCGCGTTCTGCGTCAAGTTCATTTTGAATGAACTTGGCGATAGTAGCATGTTGGGCATCTCTATTGAGAGCCTCTAGCATGACGCTAACAGCATGGATGCCCATGGTCGAACCCATTCGTTCAACCGCATCCCATTCGACATCGCTCAAATGGGAGTAGCCGTCACGCGTAGCGTGAAAGCTTTGGTCATCTTCATCATCCAACATATTCATGTTGGATGTGAACGCGGTCCTTGGACGGACTACGAAGTGCTACCAGGTGTAACGGGGTACCCTGAAGCTTGTACTGGTGACAGTACAAGCTACTTATTCTGATAACAGAATAAGGCGGTGCCTCGTAACTTTACGTACACTCGTACGTGCAGAGGAAGACGGTAAGAAGAAGCGAGTACTTGGTTAAAGTAAAAAGCAGAACTGTATTTATCATAGTTAATGTCTGCAATAAATCACTATTTATCTTCATCTAACTATGTCTAAATACAAATGTGTAAATCAACTATCTGCTCACCACTCATTGCGTGCGTCTGTCGTGGCGCGTCTTCGTTGGTTGATATAATAGCCTATATCAACCAATTAGGAACTACTCGTAAGTGCTACAGAATATTTGTCCTTATGACAATATTCTGAGAATATAACTCTTATAGTTAAATTCTAATAACAATTTCTAATAAATTGTTATGTAACGATTCACCCCGTCATAAAGATCGCTACTATGTAGGATTAGGCGAAATGGCGGTTAAAACCAGTTCAGATTCACAATTTGTCGCGAGACGTGACAGTGCAGGACTCACGGTCCCGACTTCAGATAGCGTTCCCCACCTAACGATCGCGATCTCGACCTGGGTTCACCATCCATTACTTGCGGTCACGATGTAGACGTGGAATCACGACTCCAAACTTGCGATCACGATTTCCAGCTTGTTCTCGTGATCCATTATCGAGTAATCGTTACATCCGAGGTGGACCACATGAATATCCGACTGCTGATACCTTGATGTTCACCACATACAAAAGAACGGAAGATCTTTCGGAAAAAACGACGCGTGGCATCCAGATAGAAGATACAGGTCGGCACTAAAGTACGTCTTGGGTCTGATTGGTTATCATTAAAAGAATTCATTCTAATTTAAAAGACAAAATCTTATTCTCTCTTGGGCAGGATTTTTGGCCTCCCGACGCATTAAGAGCCGCTCTGCACGTCTACATAGGTTTCGCACCAATATTGTTTGGCCAGGTGCGTTCACATCAAATCTCACGATACCGAGTCAACTGCGACCGGACACAGCAAACACAGCGAGGGCAAAGGGTATAAGATCGCGAGACGGCTCAAGTGGTCAGATAGCTCGCTGGATCAAGCATCATCGTAGGGAAAGAGGGTCTATATCACAGTAGGGTAACTCATCCAGAGACCCAACCAAAACCAATGCGATCGTTTGAAGATTTTACGCGATCGATACCAATCCCAACTACGATCAAGTTCGGCATCGACTCGAGTCCACCTGGAAGATTGCAACCCTCCGTATCGAAGGGTACGTAAGGGGAAAAATGCAAATCACGCAGAATTAGGGTACTTCCTGCGTTATTTAATCATCTGGGCGCCAGTGAAGAGTTGGAATCGCCTCATGAATGATTTTACATCACCACAAGGCCACAGCCGTGCGCTTGAATGCACTGCAGACGCTATTATTACATGAGAAATCTACTGTATGAACACGCCGAAGCATCTCTCGCGGTTCCTTTTGTCGCAGCTTCCGAAAGAATCTCTTTGCCTAAAATTGCGGTAAAAGCGGAAAATGGTAAGTCTCCGCGTAAAAGCTTCTTGGCAGCCAAATATTGTGAGCCCGAACTTTACAAGAGAGAACTCATTGGCGCTTATACTATAATGTGTGTAGCGTTATATAATGGATTTCATGACACTAAGAAGCGTCATGCTACAACACACAACTGCCTAAATTATTCTCGCATAGATTTGTAAATGTAATGTCGCCGAATGCGTGTTTTGCTGCTTGCCGAATGCGTGTTTTGCAGCACCTGCCGTAGGATTCAGTCTAAATTGGCAACGGCCGCGTCCGAATTTTCACATCGTAGAGCACTCGCGACCAAGCCGATGCTTTGACACCATCAGATAGAACGAAACTATATGGATAGAGTTAATAAATGGCCACAGAAACAATGCAAAATCGTTAGAGCTGAACGCACATGATATAAAACATTTAAGCAACTTGAAATGGCATAACATTGTGCGACGCTCCGCTAGAGTGTGGAAATCTTTGGGCAAATGAGAAAGCAAGGTATCGACACATACTTGATCACTGAGCACACTCTCCATGTTATCAGCACTAAGGATCTTGACCAGTAATACCGATTTTTGGTTGTTATGTCAAAGAATCAATTCAGACGTCCATCAGATAAATAAGTACGACGTTGACAGCTTACCGTCAGCCCTCGGATATAAACTATCACAAGTTTAGGTTCTGTCGTTCTAGGCGTTTCACCGGCAGCAACGTTAGTGCTTCAGTTGGGCTAAGCACGTATTGCGTTTACTACACTGACCCGCATCAATCTGATGATAGATCTCTTGTTGAGTTAATGTTTTCTAGTCTGGTGAAATGTCAGCTTCAAAGAATGCAGTAGGGTTTTTCCTTGGTCCAGATCGCAGGGTGTAATATCCAAAAAAAATGTGCATTCTATTTCATTTTTGTGGCAAGTGATTAGTTTACATAGTTTAAGTGGGTGTCAGAGGGTGGGCGTGTACCTATCAAATTCCATAGATTATTATTCTGTCATAAATTTTACTGTAAACGCACAATAATCTAAGTCATCCAATAAACAGGACGACAATTTCGACCTTGACTAAGATCCCTCTTGCTTGCTGTGAAGCTGGCGTTGTAACAATAAAAAAAACGACAGCTTGTTGAGTGATCAATTTTCAGATCGTTGCTGGTCTATAACTGTTTACATATTCAACATCAACATAACTGCTGTACCGAAGTTGATGCTGGTGGAACGCCTACGCAAACGAACCTGCAAATTGCGGTGGTTTATTTTCAAGAGCTCACTGAAAGTCGAATTTGATGCAAGCCAGAGATAAGCAGAAGAATTGTGTTCCAAGACCAATAGCAGAAATAAGGTAAAACAGGGGAAACGGGCCGACATGGTTACGCGAGTGACACACAACGGTCGAATCCTGATCGACTCTTAGTGGCGATTACTCTATCTCATCAGAGTTTTAAAACGACCCACCAGACGATGATTGACTCGCCTGGATTAATTTCAGCGGCTGCACACGCCCTTGACGCTGCAGTCAGAAAAAAGTTGCAATCACTGGAAGGTGTCAAGCAGGACACTAGTTAATCGTATTCGTAGGCCCCACAGGCTCGGGGAAGACGCTTCTGGCCAAGATGATAGCCTGGATGGCTGAATTGTCGATTGAAATTGCCGTTGCAACGTGATTGACTTAGGCTGAGTACGTGAAGGAGAACGTCTAATCAATTTGTATCCAAACTGTAGCAAGCTGTTAACTACAACAATGATGTTATCATTGTAACATCGTGTACATTAAAGATATTGACGAAATTCACGAAAGTGAAAATGCGTGAGTATCACACTCGACATGTCAGGAGAAGGGATGCAACGAAAGCTGCTAAAGCTCTTGGAATAAAGTATGGTGAATGGGCTGGAAAAGAGAATCGCAAGAACTCACGAGGCAAGTAAAATACGTTTGCCATGAACGACACTCCTATCACTTGTGTTGGCGCATTCGGCAGTCTAAAAAAACGTATCCCTATTGCAACATGCAGCTTTAAAATAGCAATCATGTTTGCCAGTTACTCTACTACGCCGATCTGGAGTATCAAGTGTCGCATGGACTGATGCCCGAGATAATCGTTCGTTTCCCCTTGCTTATTATCACTACAGGTCTGTATCAGGAAGATCTGGTGCGAGTTCTCACCGACCCGAAAAACAGCCTTGTTCGGCCAGATAAGGCGCTCTTTAGATTTAATGGCTTGGAACGTGAAATTTTACGCGTCAGAAGATGCGCTAGAGGCAGTAGCCAATTCGACAAATCCTGGTCACTTTTCCTGATCTCTGTTGCCGTGTCGATTATTTTACAACGCTACACTTTACAATTATGTATTATTCTTACAATTTTATGGCAAATCATTAATCTATACAGGTTGACCAGATGTTTCTACATCAAAGGGTGGGTGTGTACCTTTAAATCATCTTAATTAAATGAGGGGTCATCCACCGACTCCGTTTCCATTCGAACGAACTTTTACATAGCAGATTCGGGACTGGTAAGATTTAGTTATTATCCGTAATATTTTAGATTTTGGATATCATTTTGGCTCAAGGAGGTTCAATACTCAGTTGACTGTATTCATCGGTAGCTAGAGTAAAACTTTCCGATCTAATTAAAAGCTGTCTGAAGCGGTGAAGTGTTAAATGTGGCTAAGTGTAAGTAGACGCATGAGCAATTGTACGCATACTGTGTGATGACGAGTAAATGTGGGATCTCGCAAAGGTTTGCTAAGGGTACGTATACAGCATTGTAACGGTATAATACCAAACATTTCTCGTGGGACACCAAACTCACTTGATTTAATACATGCGTGAAAGTTATGAAACCTCTGTAAAATTTCAAATGACAGCGTACACGAACGCTTATTATTGATCAAATTCACGTACATACTTAGAAACACACTGATTCTCATGCACGTTTAATTCGCTTTTATAGTAGAATGCATACAAAACCTAGTCATCTCTAACAAAGCGCTGTTTTCTGGCATTTCTAACAATAACTTATTGCAATAATCCAACGTCTGAGTTGCTTACTGAGCATTGATCTCGCAAGAGTTGCCCTTTTTTGTAATTTCGATATGGCAGACCGATTATCTTTTCGGTCTGGAGGCATAAAGTAGCTCGTTTAAGTCATCCTGAAAAGAGGTTGGCTAGCTATACCACTTAATGTGCTATTAAATCTTTTCATGCTGCATTGTAATCGACACGGAATCCGCAGATCTTACTTTACCAAGAATCTACGTCTGCTTACATTACTAGAGCTTCTTGAAATGTCTGGATCCATCCGTTAGCAAAGTACGAGAAGTGTTCGTCATCCGAACCTCTCCGCCGTAAAACAGTTCTTTAATTTCTAATGTTATGATCATCTACTCTGCATACGTATTTCAAATAAACATGCATAACCCATT